ACTTATTTGGCGATAATTATTCTATGATAATGCACGCCCTTTCCACAGATTGCAAAGCAGCCAAACTGGCCGACATTGTGTTCATCGTCGATGGGTCTGGAAGTATAGGAACCCCCAACTTCCAGCTCATACGCAGTTTCCTGCACTCGATTGTGAACGGCCTGGAAGTCAGTCCATCCAGAGTGCGAGTGGGCATCGTGATGTACAACAAAATAACCACCGCACAGGTCTACCTCAACACCTTCAACAACAAGGACGAATTGCTGAAGTACATCAAGATCCTGCCCTATCGTGGAGGCGGCACACAAACTGGAGAGGCCCTGAAGTTCGCCCTGGAGAAGGTCTTCATCAAGCAAAAAGGAAGCAGGAAGGATTCTGGTGTCCAGCAGGTGGCGGTGGTGATCACAGACGGGGAATCGCAGGACAGCGTGAGCACGCCGGCGGCTGAGCTTCGTCGGGCCGGTGTCACTGTTTACGCCGTAGGAGTCAAAGATGCCAACCATGCCCAGCTGGTGGAGATGGCGTCTTATCCTACGAATAAACACAAGTTCATCGTGGACAGTTTTGCCAAGCTGAAATCTCTGGAGCAGAGCCTGCAGAAAAGTCTGTGCCAAAACATCCTCCGGTCAGCAATATCTGTCAGTTCAAGAGGAAATGCCATCAAAGAAGGTGCGAACCACTGATTTAAACACATTACATCACATCATGCTGAGCTTTAATAAGTTCATCCCACCATGAATATGAGCTTTGTCCTATACCTAACAACATTTTTGCTTTTCCTTTTCCAGGCTGCGTGCAAAAGGAGGAAGCAGACATCTTCTTCCTCATCGATCACTCAGGAAGCATTTACCCCAACGACTTCAAGGACATGAAGAAGTTCATGATTGAGTTTCTAAATACCTTCAACATTGGTCCACAACATGTCCGCATAGGGGTTGTGAAATACGCAAATTCTCCAGATTTAGAGTTTGATCTGACAGCACACTCAGATGTGAAGAGTTTGGAGAATGCCGTAGAGGCAATTAGACAAATAGGAGGCGGGACAGAAACAGGAAGAGCACTGACTTCCATGGTCCCACACTATAATCGAGCGCTGGTCACGCGTGGTCACGAAGTCCCAGAGTACCTGGTGGTGATCACTGATGGAAAGTCCGCTGATGAGGTGAAGGTTCCTGCAGAACAGGTGAGGGCGCAGGGAGTCACTGTATACGCCATCGGGGTGAAAAGTGCAGATCCAGTCCAGCTGCAAGAGATCGCCGGCGACCCCAAGAGGACTTTCTTTGTCAATCATTTTACGCTCTGACTCCAATCAAGGACGACATCATCACCGACATCTGTTCTACAGAGGGTAAGAAAAACTGGACGAGGGTTTAAAAAGGCACTTCTGTAAATGTGGCTGTTAAAAGTAACACACAATAATTTGCCTATTATATTCCAGCTTAATCAATTAGGCTTTACACTATATTTGACTTCTAGAACTTCAGAAATATTAAAAAAGTGTCCATCCCAAGTTCTCAAAATCAAAGGTGCTGTCTTGAAAGGTCTTACTTGATCAGTTCAAAAGCCAAAGATATTCACCTTAGTGACAGAAATGTTATTGATTTCTTGATTATCAAAATAGTTGGTGATTTTTTTTCTGTAAATTACCTAATTGAATAGAAAGCTTTTGGTTGCAGCTATATCTGACCGCTGGACTGGAGGTGCAGGTACTGGATCCATTGTTTTCCAGATGCACATCCTAGCTAGCTACCATCTGTATGACGCATAAGGTATCTGTTACATCAACTAAGAATCAAACTAAGAACCCAATCGGATATAAGTCTGACAATGATATAAATATAAACTGTATATATGTCATTGTCAAATACATATATGATATAAAGGCAAGTTTATTTGTACAGATACATTTCAACACAAAGCAATTCAAAGAATTTAGAAAAATATTAAGCATTAATGGATTTAAGATGAAGTGCAACAAAAACTAATTATAAAATGACATTTACAAAAAGAGTAATTTACAGCCAAGTAGAATAAGAAGGTTATAAAATATAAGAATACAAATAAAGTGCAGTGTAAGATTCAAATAGTTGTTATATTTAAATGAAAGCTGCAGCAGAAAGAAATTGACGTTGGTCAAAACTAGTCAGAATACAAACAGAGACAAGACAACAAACAACAGAAATCGGTAGACCAACAAATATAATTGAAATATGTCTGCCTTCAAATAGTTGCGAAAATGTTGGTTCTCTATTCCAAAAAGCAGAGAGTTTGTACGAGCCTTAAATGTCCCACAACCAGGAAAAACAAACACGAACATGTCTATGCAAATGTGTCCACAGCTTGCAGTGATAAACCGGGCGACCTCCTCTTCCTGATTGACAGCTCTGGAAGCATCGACCCACAAGACTACGAGAAAATGAAAGACTTCATGAAATCTGTCATCACCAAGTCCGTCGTCGCGCAGGACAACGTGCATGTCGGCGTCATGCAGTTCAGCACCATCCAACGACTAGCGTTCCCCCTCAACCAATACTACAGCAAGGAACAAATGCTGAACGCCATCACAGCGATGCAGCAGGTTGGCGGAGGCACACTCACAGGGGAAGCCATCACGGATGTGTCGCAGTACTTTGACGGGCTGAGAGGAGGGCGTCCTGGCATGGGGCAGACGCTGATAGTGATTACAGACGGCGAGGCACAAGACGAGGTCAAAGAACCAGCCGTGGCTCTGAGGAACAAGGGAGTGGTGGTCTACGCCATCGGAGTGATGGACGCCAACACGACCCAACTGCTGGAGATCAGCGGCTCAGCAAAAAGGACGTACACTGAAAGGGATTTTGATGCTCTGAAGGACTTGGAGAACGAGTTGTCCTTGACACTATGTAGCACAGACACAGGTAAAACATCCAAATGACACAAAAGGAACTATGCGCATATTTCATATGATGATTATAAGGTAAGTAGTTCTTTAAAGTTCCTTTTACATGCCTTCTGACCCGATTTGTGTTTCTACTTCCTGACAGATTGTAAGAAGACAGAACAAGCTGACATTATTTTCCTGGTGGACGGCTCCACGAGCATAACCCTGGAGAAGTTCAGAAGCATGCAGAAGTTCATGTCGTCCATGGTGAACCAAACCATCGTCGGCAAGGACCTGACGCGCTTCGGGGTCATCCTCTACTCCACCGACCCCAAATCTGTGTTCACTCTGAAACAGTACAGCTCCAAACGAGAGGTGCTCAGAGCAATTCAAGAGCTGAAGTCCGGGTACGGAGACACCTACACCGGCAAGGCTTTGGCGTACTCTTTACCGTTCTTTAACAAAGACAATGGCGGCCGGGCGGAACTCAACGTGCCTCAGATCCTCAT